TTGCACCGGTAAATGTTAGATTTTTTCCGTTAAGAACAACTGTATATTCACACGGTTATATGCATTGTATTTTAAAATTAAAGTGGATCATTTTTCTAAAACTATCCTGAATATTCCATTGTATAGCCAAGTAGGTAAGGTACTTGGAACTCGCTGGCCTGAAATACAGGGTCTCAAATTATTAACAGAACTGAGTACTTTTTATTTCTTGGGCAAACATTTGCAAACTATAATGTGATTAAAGCCGTCTCCATAGCAACACTTTCACATTATGCAAATTGACGGAAGTAATTTTTTTTAAAAAAAACCGGTCAGCGTTTAATTCCCGACCGATACAAATTCTGTTAAACCGATAACTATTTGGAAAAACCTGTGAGCATCCTGTCTTGAGAAACGTATTTACAATAGCGAGTTTCCAGGGTAGAAGATATTCGGATGCGGAGATGTGGCATGTTAATGGATGGTACAGTCGGGCCATTCACGTTTTGAAAAAAACAGTTTTGTTGAATCATTTCTAAAAAGTCCAATATAGGATATTTTATTTGTATCTTTCTTGTTTTTTTTTTTTTTTTTGTAACTTGATGCCTCTCTTTGTGTGTGTGTGTGTGTGCGTGTGCGTGTGGGCACGCTTGCGTTCGTGTGCGAGAGCGCGCGCACACACGTGAGTTGTTGTGTGCCGGTTAGGCACGTGAAATGAAGGCGTTTCGATACATTTTATTTCATCCTTTCTCGGCCCGTAGCCAGAGGGTTGGGGGGGGGGGTTCGCTGGGAAAAGATCCCCTCTAGGTAAAAATTTATCTAGGTGCACGAAGGTTCAATGGTAAAAGGTTCACCTTTTCAGAAAAAGAACACCCCTTTTGAAAGTACAGGCCTGTATCTCAATATTTACTAAGAGAGGGCCAATGATACTTTCTGACCACAGGGTCGCCACAAGTATGTTAACAAAATGTTGTAATTTATGTAATTTTGTCTACCCCTGTGATATCAGTGTATATTAGTGTGATCAGCGGTAATCTTTTCAATGACTGTAAAACATACAAAAGGATGCACATTTAATGCTGTTATCAGTATGTTACATGTGGTATTTAGAAGACTGAACAATAAAAAGCGCACCTGCAGAGACGGGGTGAAATGGAAATAAACTCATTTCAGTACAGTTATATTTCATTTACATTTTGCCATTTTAAAGGTGTGACTTTTAACTTCCATGGGATTGAAGGACTTTGCTTGTCACATTTTCTGAATATCCATGATAGTTTTATTTTATTATTAAAAATTGATGGTCATTATGCTGTTAAGTATTATGTAATATTGGATCAGAATTGAAGAAATCCCTTTTTTGGGCACTGCTTCCATAGTGACTATTAAAGGACAACCATGTCTTTAATTCTTTTCAAACAAGAAAGAGAAATAGCACTAAAAACATCTTCAGTTTGAAAACCAATCTAAATGGGTACTTTCTAGAAGTTTAAGCTTTTTTTGTGAAAATTTAATTTTTCACAAATTCGGCATTTTCAAGGTGTGACTTTAAACTTGAAAACCTTACACATTTTCTGAATATATCCATGACACTTATATTTTTATTATGACTAATTGATGGTCAGTGTGCTGTTAAAGATTGTGTAATATTGCATCAAAATGAAAGAAAACCCTACTTTGGGCACTGCCTCCATAGTAACCAATTGGCTTTCTTTTTCTGGAAGTTATACATTACTGTGAAAAATTTCTTTCACATATTACCATTTTCATTGTGGGACTTGGGCATGAAGCCCATGCAATGGTAATCAAATTTTCTAAATGTCCACGTTAATAATATTAGGTAATTAAATTTGGTGGTAATTATACAGTTTATCATTATGCAATAATTACATAATTACATCAGAACCTACTTCACCGCAAACGTTATGAAAAGAAAACTGCGTTACTTTTTAACTTACAAGAATGATTCTTAGGATAGACATACAGCTCAAATTAGAAAACAAGCTTCATTGGATTATCACTTTTTATTGAATTCATGCAAGTTTGGGGGAAATGTTCATTTTGCTCATTCTGGCATTTTGACTGTGAACTTTGTGAATTTAAATTCTCATGGACCTGAAGCCTTATGCTTTTACTTTTATTCGTACTTGTTATGCATAATGAAAATTTGATACTGACTTTGTAGTTAAGCATAATATATTATTGCATCAGAATTGACAGTATCCTAGCTTTTTGTCTGTACATTTTACAGCTTTGCTGCCTTGTTTTTAATAATGTATTTAATTAAGTGTATTTCTGCTTCGAGTGCCCTATAAATCACTTACCAGTTCTTCAATAAAAGATTGAGTAGTTAGTGTATTTTGTTAAAATTTAACCCAAGTTTATAACGTCTCATTAAGTGGACTATTTTACACAAACTCCATTTATTGAGTATTTTGCATATGTGTTTCTGTGTTGTTTTCTCCTGATACCCAAACCATATCCTATTAATTACTGTACATCAAAAATACTGCCTGATGTAGACAAAGGCAGATGAATTTAGAACTGTATAGATTCTGACCTCCCACGTGTACAAAGGCATGTATGATTGGGAATCGTCCCATGTCGCCCACTAGATAGATTCGCCATGAAAATCAATCTTAGAAAAAAATGCAGTTAAAAAGTATAATCGTAACTATGCAGTCATGTTTTCTATGGAAGCAAGCTGTTGACTCCCTTTGCTTAAATCTACATGTATATCAACAACGATTTGTTTGCACACTGTGTATATTGCCAGTACTGGCAGAGATTCGTTGTATAACTCTTTACCGGTATTTGAAAAAAGGAATGTATGGGCGCATTCAGATTCACACATCGTACTACCTGGGTCGGTCCAACTCTGCGGGAGGTTCTCGATAAAGTGCGATCAGTGGAATCAGCTTAATCAGGACACAATCCTTGATTACAACCCAGCTGCTCACAGAAGCTTGTCAAAGAATCCAGCTACATTAGTTTTAGGCAGAATAAACGTGATTTGAATTATAATAGTCACAGTCACTAATAATGTGAAAAAGTGAGTAAAAAGCTTTCGGATATCAAAACATTGATACCCCAGGGGTAAGTCCCGAATTCCACGCCAAGGGGGCGAGCATCAGCATTGTATCTGAAGCCTGGCATTTCGAAAAAAACTACCCTCTTCAAATTATTCTTGATTCGCACCTGTACTTAAATGCTTTGGAATTCATAACTATTCTAAACCTCATAGAATGATGCCTATAAAAGCCTTGAGTCAAATTACAAAGAATAAAAAGCACGATGAAGTGTGTATGCAGCCCTCCCTCCAAGCTGCTCTGACAACTGTAAGTAATACCTACATACCGTTGTATACTTCAACCAGGAAGAGAAATATCAAACCGCGTGGGGAAGCAAAACGAATAATAGTAAATGCAATTTATTTTGTACTCCACTTTGTTGCTCTTACAGCAACAGCAGAAGTGTACATTTCGACCTTCTATTTCAGTCTCAGGCCCGTAGCCAGGGGGGGGGGGGGGGTTCGGGGGGTTCGAAAGAACCACCCTTTTTGCTGGGAAAAGGTCCACTCTGGGTAAAATTAGATCTATTTACTTGAGGATTTTATGGTAAAAGGTCCACTTTTTCAGAAAACGAACCCCTCCCCCTCTGAAATTGCTGGCTACGGGCCTGAGTCTATTAATCACTCTTTGAGGCGAATTACACAGAGTGTTTTATTGTTAAGTTATTAATTTATCTTATTATCAGGCTCTGTAACGTAAGAACGTAAGAAAACACGATCGTTTTTATTATACTTCAGCAGGTAAAAGTGCTTGTTGAAATGCGTTCGCAAAACGAATATTTGAAATTGAAAAAAAAAAAAAAAGACTTTCGTGTACAAGTACAAGTACAGAAAGTATTATTAAAAGTCTATTCAAAGTGTAACCACCCATTCTCCAGGGGAAAACAGATTTTATGGTAAACATATATTTTATGAATATTTTTTTGGTAGGTGGGTAGGTGGGTAGTAGTCAAGCAATTAAAAGTGACAGATAATCTAAGGGATACTAGGATAAGCAAGAGAATCTGTTTATACCAACTTTCCCTAGAGGTGCACCTTGATTCAAGGTTTACTTAATCAAGGGGGGGGGGGTAATGAAGCAATTAAAAGTAACAGTTAATTCATCAAAGGGTTACCTGAGAGTGGGATCATCTGTTTACCCCACCTTTACCTGGAGATATGCTTTGATCAGATTTTAAATTAAATTTTCTGTTCTTCCATTTCTAAAATTTTCTGTACTTGTACTCCATGAAAATAATGTATAATGAGATTAGCATTCTCTATCCTCGAGTTGCATCATCACACTAAGAAAAGTTCATAAAATGGATGAAAAGATTTGAAATGATATATATTTGTACATAAATATACATTCTTCTGGGGGGAATTTTCCGGGAAGGGGGGTTTGTCTGATATCCCCTCCCGTTTTATTTAGTAGCACAGAAGTGAGCTTTGATCTTTTCAAGATCTGTGTGCTTCGTCTGTGTGCAGCCAAATAAGGCATAGGCCTACATGTCTGATTCAATTTTTATCCGATTGAAAGCATACCTCACTAACATATAAATAACTGTTCACTAATACAGGGATATATTTGTCGACAATAAAGCCGCCATTCCCGTCAAATTTTTCTATGTATAAGTGCTCAGTAGCCATTATTTAACACAGTTTACTTAACGTCAATACTCTGCCCTACCAGTTCCACGAGGTTATTTGAAATAGAACATGTTCTTTTCTTTTGCTGTTTAATATGATAACTTTCATATTGTTTTCTTGATACCTTTCTACCCGGTAAGTCTATTACACCATTTTCAATCACAACTTTTGAAGTTTATCGCGTGTGAATGTTTATCGCGTGGAAATGTTTTCTTTTCTTCCATTCTTCTATTATGATTACCAGTCAGCGTTAGTGATTGACGTGCGACATGAAAAAAAAAAGGCGGCGTTTATATAGAGTACCTTTAGCTCACAAGGAAGTGAAAGATGGATCTAGCCGGGGTGGGTGTTCCATCACTCTTGTCTTTTACTTTAATTTTCACGATTTGTCTCAGTTTTTCCAACGCTGACACCGTCATTGACACCTCACCGAGCGCGGATTTGACGTTACGACGTAGTGACCAACCGTTCTACGTCAATTCTTCGATTATCGTTCCCCCGGGGATCACGCTTACGGTAGAGCCTGGCGTGACTGTTACGTTTGACCCTGGGGTCACCTTGAGTGTCCGGGGAAGACTGGTAGCCAAAGGGCAGCCTGGTCAACGAATTCGCTTCACTGCAGCTGATACACCCAATATTCCAGCACAACGCGACAGCCCTCCCATTTGGTTTGATGGCGCTCGCCTTGCGGGAGACTTCACGTCAAGTCACGTAGGGCGTTTAGAGCTTTTGTTGGGAGGTAAGCTTGTGGAAACTCGTCTAGTTTTTATCCTTTATTTATTGCCATCAGCTTGTATCAACTTACCGTTTCGTGTTGTATTATTAGAAGTTAAATAAAACCCTACGTACGAGGTGTTTTCAGTCAATTTCAGTCAGGTGAAATACAGTTTTTATACTTTGCCCATAACACTGGTATATCTATAAATTTAATGAAATGTGTGTGTGTGTGCGTGTGTGTAAAATAGATAAGGGAGGGGGCACAGGAATAAAGATATTTACTTAGCATCACTCAGCAATAATAGAATATTACGCAAAATCAGTTTAACCATAAAATAGCTGGACCTTGTCACATATCGCTATTTTTGTTATTTATAATTTTTACTAGTCGTGTTCCTTTAAAAGCTTTTTAAAAATATATTTCTTTCTCTATAAAAA